AGAGTGGCAGAAGCTGATCGTATGGAAATTTCCACCCTCCAAAGGTACCACAGACCTCAGGTGTACTGCTTTGCTTTATCTGCCTTGACAGATTGGTTTCTGAATATAGTCTAAATATTTTGTATTGGTACATGAGAAGTTTTCATTTATTTATTTGTTCTTGAGAGGTCATGCATGCTTGCCAGAGAGAGACGGAGACAGAGACAGAGAGAGAGAGAGAGAGAGAGAGAGAAAAAACATCTTCCTGGGGAATGGTCATGCTACAATCCCTTCTCCATCCCTCCCTCCTTTCCTCATTGCATAGAATTGCATTCTCATGATAATAAGCAAGGTGCTTTATTAGGAGCATTTATATCTGAGTCTTTAAAGTGTCCTCATCTTACTTCCCTCAAATCCTTTCTGTCCCCTTCCATAGGAAGGTCAGGAGAGATGACTCGATGTTGGTGTCCACTTGGGGGGACGTGCTAAGAGGAGGACGTCGCCATGTGAGAGCACACTGGACATACCCATTCTTTCTTTATTTTTTCATTTTTTCCCTTTCTTTTTTTTTTTAATTTTCCTTTATGGATTTACCCATTCTTAATAGCCTTTATCTCAACAGTTTAACTTGGTTAGAAAATTTAAAGAAGTTGTTTAGCCATTCTTTCTCTTGCTGAAGAAAAAAGACAGGGGATCAACGTGGGGGAAAGAGGGGTTTGGGTCAAATTTTTTTTTTCTTTTTTTTCATGCTTTGGGAGAAAAATAGTGACATAATGAGAAGCTAGGTGTTGCTCTGTAAGGCGAAGACATGGGTGAGTTCGGCCCAACTTTGATGAACACTGCTTTACGCTCAGCTTTTCTTCCCAGCTTTGAGCCTTGAGAATAAAATCTTTGAGTGTATGTGAAGTGTATGTCAAGTCATGCCATGACACCTGGTGTATTTTCCACTGGATATTGAATTTAGTGTCTTTCTTTTTTGTTTGTTTAGTTTTTTTTGCTGTAGGGTATGTGCGCTACCTAGAGAGAGACAGAGAGGGGGAGAGAAATTGAAAAATCACCTCCCCGCCCCCTGGGGGCTGACCATACCTCAATCCCTTTTGTCCATTCTCCTCTTGGGAATTTGGCCATGTACACACACGTCTGGTATATTTTTCAAGCCATCAAGTCTCGGGCTTGAACTGTGGAGTTGGCCATGTGGGATCCAGCGCCTTAACCACCACACCATCTGCTGGCCCAGTTTCCCCCTGTTCTCTTATGTCCACTTTGGCCTCCAGTGTATTTTGTACATATGTAGGTCCATATGTATCTAGACAAACATATACACAGCTGTATGTATATCAGGTATTTCAAAGGCAATCATGTATACAATTTTAAATTTTATTCCTGAGTAGGCTGCAAATTAAGAGAAGATGGCAGGTGTGTTGAGTTCTCGGTTATAATACACCTACCTGTTAAACTTGTTTGACAGGCTCTTCTTTTTGCTTGGTAAGAAACAACATAGAAGAAGAGGTCTATGAATCCAAGAGCTTATTTCTTTCCTCACCTTCATTTAATCATTCAGTACATACTTCATAAACATTTCTTACAGTCAGATCATCTTTCTTTTCCACTTAGTTTGATTCTTTGGACATGAAGACAAAATAGTCATTTCTTGTTTTAAAGTGATGCCAAGAACATGGATGTCTTAATTGGTATTTGGTTATGTTAGAAGTATATTGTAGGGCCAGCCCTGTACTGCAGTCGTTAAGCACTGAGTAGGGAGCTGGATCCCACATGACTGACTGGGATTTGAGTCCTGGTCCTGGGGACTTGGAGACATGCCAGGCGCAATGTATGTACATGCCTCATATCCTGACGGATGGAGAAACGGAGGAAAGGCGTGACCACACCCCATGGAGGTAGGCACTTTCTCTCTCTTTCTGATGAGCACATACACCCTCTGACACTTAAAAAAAAAGGTAAAGGTAATCTTTGATTTAAAAAAAGTTGGAAATAAAGTGTATATATATATATTTTTTTTTTCTGCAAAGGTGCTTGTACTCGCCAGACAGATAGAAACAGAGAGACAGAAAGCGAGAAATCACTCCCCAAGGGGGGATGGCCACACCGCAATCCCTTCTCCTCCATTCTCCTCTCGGGATCCCGGTCATGCACGCATATGCACCTGGCATGAGTTTTAAGCCACCGGGTCTGGGACTCGAACCGTGGTCGACTCCATGGGAGTCCAGCGACATAGCCATTACGCTAACTGCTGGTCCCGAAAAAAAGTATATTGTAATGAAAGCACGTGTTTGAGAACCTCAGCAGAGAACGGGCTCTGTGGGACTTGTGGCAGCCTCTTGTATTGATGAGATGGCTGACGTTTTTGCCTCCTTTTCCTTAGATACCAGCGGCTTGGAGTTTTGCCTACAAACTGAACTTCACTTATGCACTGAACAATCCCAGAAAGAGGAGAAGACCCCGGTGCCACCCATCGGTTCTGTCTTCTTGGCATTTTCTATTCTTGGAGAACTGCACACAAAGCTTAAATCCTTTGGTAAGACATGGTACTTGGTTTCATTTACACAAACTCTCCGAAGGTTCAGTATTAAAGGAGTGATGGAAAAGAGTAGAAAACATTCCCTGGAGGCCCAGTCACGGGCACACATGGGTGGCCTTGTGAGGTAATTGGAGCCATCTGGGAGTCCCGGGCTCGGTTTCCTGCCCAGCCCGAACAGCTGGTGTGGTGGTGTGCTCCTGTGGTCCTAGCTCACTGGGAGGCTGCCTGTGGCAAGAGCAGTGTGGCATGGTGAGGTCCTGTCAAAAATCTCTCTCTCTCTTTTCCCCTCTTGTGTTCTCTCATTTAAAAAAAGAATTATCTTGGGGCTAGCAGGTGGCCTGCGGGTTAAGGCGCCCAGATGGCCAGCTGTGGTTTGAGTTTCAGACCTGGCATCTTGTTTTCTCACTTTCCCCTCTCTTTCCGTCTCTCTCTGGTTGAATCGAAAAATAATAAAATTAAATAATTCTTTTAAAAATATATTTTATTTACCTTTTATTTATTTTAATTTGACCAGAGAGGGATAGAGTGAGAGTGAGATTGTGAGAGAGAGTGAGTGAGAGTGAGAGAGAGAGAAGGAAAGAGAGAAAGCAAGCTGCCAGGTCTGGCACTCGAACTGTGGTCAGCCATGTGGGAGTCCAGCACCTTTAACCACCATGCCCCCTCAAAATTAAAGACTTCCTTTAAAAAAAAAATTATCTGGGATCAGCCTTGTGGCTTAGTGGTTAAGAGAGCTGGATCTAACATGGTTAACCACAATTCGAATCCCAGCCACAATGGCTGAAAAATAGCAGGCGCATGCGTGTGTGCCCCAAATCTCGATGGAGAAATGGAGAAGGCATTGTGGTGTGACCACGCCCTGTTAGGGAGTGCTTTCTCCCTCTCACTGTCTCTGTCTCTGGAGAGTGCACCTACCTTTTGGCAGTTATTAAGAAAAATTTCTTGGGAACCAGCAGTTAGCGCAATGGCTATGTCATTGGACTCCCACATAGTCGACTGCGGTTCGCGTCCCGGACCCGATGGCTTAAAACTCATGCTGGGCGCGTGTGCGTGCGTGCCCAAGATCCCGAGAGGAGAATGGAGGAGAAGGGATTGTGGCATGACCATCACCCCGGGGGGGTGATTTCTCGCTTTCTGTCTCTATGTCTCTGTCTGTCTGTCTGGCGAGCGCACGAGCCCTATAGCGAAAAACCTCTCCCCCCCAAAAAAAAAAAAAAATTTCTTTGTAGCATGTTCATCGTGGAGTTTGTCCTCATGATTCGTCAAAAGGGATTGTCATAAATATTGCTCTTTTTATTAAAGGCTTGGGCCCTTTCTTCCTTTTTAAGAGAGATTTTTGGTATAGGGTGCATGTGCTTATCGGAGAAAGAGAGACAGAAAACAACAGATCACCCCCTAGGGGGTATGACCACCCCACAGTCCTCCATCCTCCGGATTTGGGGCATGCATATGCACATAAGGTGCTGGGTCCGGGACTTGAACTGTAGTTTACTATGTGGGAGTCCAGATATATAACCATTATGCCATCTGCTGTTCCCTCTTTATTCCTGTTTAAAAAAATAATTTCCATTTTATTTATTTTAAAAAATAATGTGAATAAAAATCTGTAAACACGCTGGGGAACGTCAGCGGGAAAACCCTGTAGCACGAGATGATTACTGTGTAATGTCATGATATATGGCTTATGGTTTAGACTCAGAGATCCAAGTTGTTTTTTGGACACGCTTACTTTCTAAGAGTTTCTTCTAATGATTTCTGATATGAGCTGTCGTATGATTTTTTAGGTCAGATGCTGCTAAGGTATATCCTCAGGCCTCTGGCATCCTACCCGTCCCTGTATGCTGTTACGGAAAGCCAACCCAGCGCAGTTATTGTTCGTTTTGAATCCGTAACGATTGACCTGGAACATCCATCGCCATCTGAAGTTTTTGCAAAGATCAGACTGGTATTAGAAGTACTTCAGAAACAGCTGCTAGGTACGTACCCCCAAGGCAGCACGTGCACATTTAGAAGAGTAAAGGCTGCTTTAGAGTAGAAAGGCCTGTAACGCCACTGAAGGAAGAATCAGGAGCGAGTGGATTTTATGAAAGGAGCAAAGCGATTAGTTGTTATTTCTTGACAGTTTGTGTCCCTTCTCTGTCCTCTATTGATAACTAGAGTCATCGGTGGTACCCAGCCTATGGTTGCAATATTTTAGTGGGATTTGAGGATGCACTTCTCACTAGACTTTGAGTAGTATCACATTTTGAGTTTCTTGCTCTAAGTATAAGAGAAGCAGAAATGAATCAAGTGCTTTTTTACATATTTCAACGAGAACATCCCCATTAATTTAGTATAGAGTAGGTTTGATACAGGAAGTAAATTATATTTCGATTCAGCTTATTGGTTAGATTTTTAGATGTTTACACTAGAAATAGTTTATGTGTTGCTTGGATCATTTGGTTGTCATACTTTTAAAAGTAAGCTTTCTTCTGTTGTATTTTTACTACTGTTGCTTTTTAGTCTATTTGACTTATCTTTTTTGGTGCCCAAGATCCCGAGAGGAGAATGGAGGAGAAGGGATTGTGGCATGACCATCACCCCGGGGGGGTGATTTCTCGCTTTCTGTCTCTATGTCTCTGTCTGTCTGTCTGGCGAGCGCACGAGCCCTATAGCGAAAAACCTCTCCCCCCCAAAAAAAAAAAAAAATTTCTTTGTAGCATGTTCATCGTGGAGTTTGTCCTCATGATTCGTCAAAAGGGATTGTCATAAATATTGCTCTTTTTATTAAAGGCTTGGGCCCTTTCTTCCTTTTTAAGAGAGATTTTTGGTATAGGGTGCATGTGCTTATCGGAGAAAGAGAGACAGAAAACAACAGATCACCCCCTAGGGGGTATGACCACCCCACAGTCCTCCATCCTCCGGATTTGGGGCATGCATATGCACATAAGGTGCTGGGTCCGGGACTTGAACTGTAGTTTACTATGTGGGAGTCCAGATATATAACCATTATGCCATCTGCTGTTCCCTCTTTATTCCTGTTTAAAAAAATAATTTCCATTTTATTTATTTTAAAAAATAATGTGAATAAAAATCTGTAAACACGCTGGGGAACGTCAGCGGGAAAACCCTGTAGCACGAGATGATTACTGTGTAATGTCATGATATATGGCTTATGGTTTAGACTCAGAGATCCAAGTTGTTTTTTGGACACGCTTACTTTCTAAGAGTTTCTTCTAATGATTTCTGATGAGCGTTCGTATGATTTTTTAGGTCAGATGCTGCTAAAGTATATCCTCAGGCCTCTGGCATCCTACCCGTCCCTGTATGCTGTTACGGAAAGCCAACCCAGCGCAGTTATTGTTCGTTTTGAATCCGTAACGATTGACCTGGAACATCCATCGCCATCTGAAGTTTTTGCAAAGATCAGACTGGTATTAGAAGTACTTCAGAAACAGCTGCTAGGTACGTACCCCCAAGGCAGCACGTGCACATTTAGAAGAGTAAAGGCTGCTTTAGAGTAGAAAGGCCTGTAACGCCACTGAAGGAAGAATCAGGAGCGAGTGGATTTTATGAAAGGAGCAAAGCGATTAGTTGTTATTTCTTGACAGTTTGTGTCCCTTCTCTGTCCTCTATTGATAACTAGAGTCATCGGTGGTACCCAGCCTATGGTTGCAATATTTTAGTGGGATTTGAGGATGCACTTCTCACTAGACTTTGAGTAGTATCACATTTTGAGTTTCTTGCTCTAAGTATAAGAGAAGCAGAAATGAATCAAGTGCTTTTTTACATATTTCAACGAGAACATCCCCATTAATTTAGTATAGAGTAGGTTTGATACAGGAAGTAAATTATATTTCGATTCAGCTTATTGGTTAGATTTTTAGATGTTTACACTAGAAATAGTTTATGTGTTGCTTGGATCATTTGGTTGTCATACTTTTAAAAGTAAGCTTTCTTCTGTTGTATTTTTACTACTGTTGCTTTTTAGTCTATTTGACTTATCTTTTTTGCTTGTCTCAGTTGTCTTGTTTAATGGTCCAGCCAACCATTCCTGCGCTAGAGAAAAAAAAAAAGTGCTCCTGCTTTCTTTAGGCCTTTCTGGCGAGTGCATGCGCCCTGTAGCAAAAACCTCATCAAAAAAGGAAAAAAAAAAGAATTTTTAAATTTTACTTTAGTTATTTATTTTAATTTTACCAGAAAACGACAGAGAGAGAGAGAAAAAATGAGAAAGTAAGCTGCTAGGTCTGAGACTTGAACTGTGATCAGCCATATGTGAGTCCAGCGCCCTTAACCACCACGCCACCTGCCGGCCCCATCTTATTTTTTGAACGGCATAGTTTTAAGTTCCCCTTATCTTTATTGCTCTCCTGATATTGACTATGGTTATGCTTTGGATAATGGTTTGTCCCCTAAATATTTATGTGCTGAAACTTGATTGTTTTGATTGTATTATGAAAGCGTTTAGTGAAAACTTAATCCTTTAGGTTGTAATAATTTCGTCTTTGCTTATGTATAGCTGAACTAAATATTTTAAATAATTATTTTATTTAACTTTATTTTCATTTGACTAGAGAGGGACAGAGAGAGAGAGAAAGTGAGAAAGCAAGCCACTAGGGCGGGACTCAAACTGCGGTCGGCCATGTGGTAGTCCAGTGCCCTTAACCACAGTGTCACCTGCTGGTCTCAATAACTGAACAGTTTTAACAACTATATTATACTTTTAATAGTGTATTCATTTACTTTTGATAGTTTAATGAAAAAAACTAAGCACAGGTAAGTATAATGGGTGGGGTATAACAATAGGGGAATAACTCAGTCTCTTGTTTTAAAATGCTAATAAATCTGGATTTTAAAAAATATCTAACATAGTACTGAGACACTGTTGTGACAGAAACTATTTTTTCATGTCTAGCTGAAATTCTTTGATAAATAAAACAGATTAAAACCAATCTTTCCTAGGGACCAGCAGTTAGCGTAATAGCTATGTCGCTGGACTCCCACATAGTCGACTGCGGTTCGCGTCCCGGACCCGGTGGCTTAAAACTCACGCCAGGCGCGTGTGCGTGCGTGCCCAAGATCCTGAGAGGAGAATGGAGGAGAAGGGATTGTGGCGTGGCCATCCTCCCTGGAGGGGAGATTTCCTGCTTTCTGTCTCTCTGTCTCTCTCTGTCTGTCTGGCGAGTGCATGCGCCCTATAGCAAAAACCTCTCCAAAAAAAAAACCCAACCGATCTTTCCTGTAAGGGTAGTTTTTAGGCCAAACTATCTTTATAAATTTGGAAGTCCTCTTAGTCAAAATGTACCCAAAATATCATCTAAAGCTAAGGAAAAGTATTTGCAGTATTTTGGAAGTTGAATCCATTGTTCTTTGCTATTCACATCAACATATTACAGTGTGACATTAACGCATAGAAGGGAAAAGCCATTGGGATGGGAAGCAGTCTGTTTACACTGGCGGGCAGCGTGTTGTAAGACATGTGTCTGAGGGACCAGCAGTTGGCATAACGGCTAGGTTGCTGGACTCCCATGTAGTTGACCGCAGTTCAAGTCCTGGACCCAGGGGCTTAAACTCATGCTGGGCGCATGTGCGTGCGTGCCCAGGATCCTGAGAGGAGAATGGAGGAGAAGGGATTGTGGCGTGGCCATCCCCCCAGGGGGTGATATCTCACTTTCTGTCTCTCTCTGTCTTTCTGGCAAGCGCACGCGCCCTATAGCAAAAACCTCTCCAAAAAAAAAAAAAAAAAAAAAAGGCGTTTTAAAATAGTTTCCACTTGGCAATGCCGAACTTTTGAGTGCTCGTGGTATAGTCAGATCAGTAGCTAGTTGTAGGTGATTATAATGTAGATGGTTTAATATCTTACTGTCAGAGTACAGCAGTAATGTAGCACAGACGGTTCATCGGAGCAGTGGAAATAAAATAGTAGTAATTGTGTACCATGCTTTGTCCACGCAGTCAACTGAGATGGCGGTAGAATTATCTGTGCTGCTTTCTTCCCCTTTATCTTAAATCCGAAGAATTCTAGAGAACTAGAGAACTTAAGAATGTATTAGGATTGTGAATATCTTTTAAAACGTCTCCTTTTGCATTAGATTTGCCTCTTGACAATGACCTGGAAAATGAGAAAGCACCTACAATCATACTGGCCGAGATGCTCGGGGATGTGATCTGGGAGGACTTGTCCGAGTGCCTCATCAAAAACTGTTTAGTTTATTCTATTCCAACGAATAGCAGCAAGTTACAGCAATATGAAGAGGTAAAGAGCAGGGATTCCATAGGTCTCAGGGCATCATGGATTCCTGTTGTGGTCTTTTGTTTTCCTTGGAGATCTTTTGTTCTTTAGTTACACCTTGAAGGAAAATTACTAATAAGACATGGAAGCAAATTCCCTATGACTTCATTTTCTCCTGACTTTTACTGTTTGGGAGGAAAGTATATTTTCTTAATAAGGATATTTTCATTACTGTGCCTTTATACTTGTTTCAACTATAATTGTTACTGTGTGACACTTAGATTTTTTTTTTGTCTTTTAAGTGTTTCTTTAAATGGTAAAATAAGGATATGTACTTTAAAGATCTTTGCATTTATTCTAAATACAGTTAAGAAATTTATACATACACACACACATATATATTTTTTTAATATATATTTTTTTAAGATTTTTCGTTGGAGGGTGTGTGTGCTCGTTGGAGAGATGGGAAAGACAGAAAGTGAGAAATCATCCCCCCCAATGGGTGATGGCCATGCTGCAGTCCCTTCTCCTCCATTCTCTTTGAGCACACACGTACACATACCTAACATGAGTTTTAGGCTGCCAGGTTGGGACTCTAATTGTGGTAAGCCATGTGGGAGTTCAGCCATGCAACCCTTACACTAGTCTTGAAAAATGTATGTGTGTGTGTGTGTGTGTATATATATATTTTTTTTTTTTTCCTTTTTTTTTGGAGAGGTTTTTGCTATAGGGTGCATGTGCTCGCCAGAAAGACTCAGAGAGAGAGAGAGACAGAAAGTGAGAAATCACCCCCCAGGGAGGATGCCATGTCGCAATCCCTCTCCTCCATTTTCCTCTCGGAATTTTGGGCACACATGCACATGTGCCTGGTGTGAGTTTAAGTCACCAGATCCAGGACTTGAACAGCAGTCGACTACATGGGAGTTCAGCGACAAAGCCATTATGCCAACTACTGGTCCTGAAAAATGTATATTTTTATACCCAGTAACTGATGGTCTGTTCTAAAACATAAATGACCAGCTTTGTCTTTATTCTTTTTTATCCCTTACATTTGAATATATGGATTTTTTTAATGGGGGAAAAAGAGAAAGGATAGGAGGATGAGAGGGGAAGAGAAAGAGAGAGAGAGAGAGAGAGAGAGAGAGAAAATAGAGATTGTTTTTGATAGAGTCTTGCCATCATGATTCTCTTCCCCACTCACCCTGTTGGCTAGAATTAAAGGTAGATGTTATCAGACATGGGCCCCTATGTGGGCCCAGCTTTGCCCATTGGCACTCTACCACTTGTGTCAGTGTGGCTGGGCCTGGATTTGAAATTTCAATATTGAAATGGAGTATCTGTATATAATTCTTTTTTGTTTCTTATGTTTATGTTTCTCTCTCAGGTCATACAGTCCACTGAAGAATTTGAAAATGCCCTAAAAGAGATGAGGTTTTTAAAAGGAGATACTACTGATTTGCTGAAATATGCCCGTAACATCAATTCTCATTTTGCTAACAAGAAGTGTCAGGATGTGATTGTGGCAGCCAGAAACTTGATGACCTCGGAAATTCACAACACTGTGAAGGTACCAGGGTTATGTTCCTCGTTTGAGGTGCTCCCTCAAATCATACATTTTGTCGTCATCAACAAATGATTTTCCATTACTTGTTTTATATACACACACACACACACACACACACACACACACATATATACACAAATATATATATACACACACACACACGTATATATACACACATATATATACACACACACATATATACACACACATATACACACACATATATATATATACACACACACACACACATATATATACACACATATATATATATGTTTATTCCCTCCCCATTTCTCACTCTTTACCATTTTCCATCTTCCTCCCACCTTGTTTATATACCTCGTTTTTTTGTTTGTTTGTTTTTGAGAGGATTTGCTATAGGGCGCATGTGCCTGTTCCTGTGTCACGGTGCTTGATGAACCATCTCAGGCCATGCAAGAACTAAGTCGTTTCTGTTTTACTGAAAAGTCCAAAAAAATATATATATATATATATATATATATATTTTGGAGAGGTTTTTGCTATAGGGATTGTGCGCTTGCCAGAAAGACAGAGAGAGAGAGAGACAGAAAGTGAGAAATCACCCCCCAGGGGGCATGGCCATGCCACAATCCCTTCTCCTTTCTCCTCTCGGGATCTTGGGCACACATGCACATGCGCCCGGCATGAGTTTAAGCCACCGGGTCCGGGACTCGAACCGTGGTCAGCTACATGGGAGTCCAGCCACATAGCCATTACGCTAACTGCTGGTCCCATATACCTCATTTTTGAGATATATATGATAAAGTGGACGATAGCCTGGTAGTTGACTGAGCTCACTGGGAAGAGTCCAATCTTCTGTACACGAATTTTCTCCTCTTTAAAGTGGTCCTAATATCTGTCTCTTTCATTGGGTCTTGTGAGGTCTAGATAACATAGTGCATATGAAAGCGTTGTATAAACGGAAAAAGTCTGGAATGGAAGGGATTAGTATTGAAATTAGGCAGATTATTCTCATCTTTATTACGTGAGGTTTTATTTAGTATACAGTTCTGTGGCAAGTATACTTCAGTTTTATCATATCGAGAGATTATATCCTATTATGAAAATGCTGACATTGTTTTCTAGGCTAATGGAGAGACTGGTTTTGAAATCAGAGTAATAAATCAAGCAAAGGAAAAGATAGATAATAATTATGTGCAGAAGCAGAGAACTAATACATTTGCATTGAGGATAATTTACTCCTTTGACCTTAGATAGTTCTGTGTATTTTCTTTTCTGTTTTTTTTCCCCCATATCCTACATATATAAAGTAATAATTGGTAGATGAAAGTGAAAGCTAGACTAAGGCTATCCCTTTTTTTTTCATTTTTTAAAAATTTATTTTACATACTTGCACTGAACATCACCACAGTATACAAAATGTGATTTTCCAGCCAGAATACACCATAAAATGGCTAAATCATACATGTTATCATCAACAGATAATTTTCCATTTCTTGTTTCATATATATATATATGCACATATTTCCTCCCTATTTCTCACCCTTTACCATTTTCCATCCTCCTCCCACCCTGTCTCTGGTATCTGCAGTTGCTTTCCATTCCTTTATTCTTTCCCACATTGTATTGATTCATAAAATATCTTGATTAATCTAATACTTTCAATAGTAAGTCCAGCCGATATATACATATCCGTGAACAAAAGTTGACTGTAGGCATGAAACTCTGTGGGTAGAATGAATATACTGTAAAACAGCACATAGCTGAGGCTCTATAGCTTACTGTGGTTACTAAATAGGTATTTTTTAAATACATTTTTTAATTTCAAGAAAGGCAGTTTCAGCTTTAATAAATGAAAATGAAAAAATGTTAGGAGAACTTTACTTAATACTTAAAGCCCGGAAACAGGTTAGGATTCTGTTCGAATAGTAGGTACATGGACTGTCCACAACTTGAGAGAAGACAAAATTCCCTAACACTGGGAAACAAAGCATAGAAGGTCAGTTATGTTTTAGTCAAAAGGCATTCTCTTAATAGACGGTTTCTTGGGCATTTTTCTGCTGTTACTGAGGTCTCTGGGCTCTTCCTTCCGTAATCTCTCCTTCTGCCATTCCCTATTTTCCTTGGGGAACCTATTATTATGTCTGCTTCTTCAACACACTAATTAGCCATTTGAAGTGCACAGATATTAACACATTTTGAGATAATTTTGGATTGTTAAGGGAGCCAAAATCTACTCATTACCAGGAACTGTGCTGTGACTTTTAAAAACACAAATACCACTTTAATTTTTTTTTTTTTTGAGAGGTTTTTGCTATAGGGTGTGTGTGCATGCCAGAAATACAGAGAGAGAGGGACAGAAAGTGAGAAATCACCCCACAGAGGGGATGGCCACACCACAGTCCCTTCTCCTCCATTCTCTCTGTATCTTGGGCATACAGGCACACGCGCCCAGCGTGAGTTTTAAGCCACTGGATCCAGGATTCGAATCGCGGTCGACTACATAGGAGTCCAGCGACATAGCCATTACGCTAACTGCTGGTTCCACCGCTTTAATATTATTCCTTACAAAATCTAGTGGGTTCCTGTCTTTTTAAGAGAAGGGCCAAAGAACCTGACAGTGGCTTCCAAGGCCTTATTAGGAATGCTTTGTCTCCCATCCATTGCATTTCTGGTGACATCTCCCATTCTTCTGTCACTCTGCTCCAGGCACTGTGGACTCATTGCATGTGCACTCATCAGAGGGGACAGACAGAGAGGGAGAGAGAGAAAATACCCCTCCAGTGGGTTATGGTCGTACTGCCATCCCTTTTCCTCCATCCTCCGTTCTGTCAGGATTTGGGGTGGGCATGCAGGCTTCCGGACCCAGTTTGTTTCTGAAGCCACTGGGGCTGGGTCTTGAACCATGTCTTCAACTATCTGAAATGGACTCTCTTAACCATCAGGCCACAGGCTGGCCCTCATTGCTGTTCCTTGAATGCACTAGGCCCATTTGGTTGTGGAAACTTCGAACCTCTTGTTCCCTCTGCTTGTAACATTTTTACTGCAGATATCCATAAGTCTTGCTCGTCTTCTTTTTTTTTTTTTTTTTTTTTGACTATGGATTACACTTCCCAGAAGGTTCAGTGATTAATTTTATTTTTATTCATTTGTTTATCTTAATTTGACTAGAGAAAGACAGACTCAGAGAGAAGTAAAGTGAGAAAGCAAGACTCCAGGTCTGGACTCGAACCGTTATTGACCATGTGGGAATGTCAAGCGCCTTAACCATCACGCCACCTGCTGGTCCCCAAGCCTCACTCTTCTTAAAGTGCTCCCTGACCCCTTCTTTAAAAATTGTGACTCCCCTATTTCTTGTACCCATTTTTGCTTTATTTTTCTTTGGATTGCCTATGTTCAGCCATCATTTTGAATGATGTATTGTTTTTCCTTTTCTAGAAAGTAATCTCATGAAGGTGGGGTTTAGTTTTGTTTGGAGTGTTTCATTTACCGTTGTATCTCCAGCACCAAGAAAATACCTGGTACATACTTCTGTGTACTTGGTGCTCCAGTGCCCAGTAACTACTAGGTAAACAAATTAATGTATATCTCACCTCTGCCTCAGCTTCTTGATGTAAACAGTGTTATTATTGGATTGCTCTGTGACTCTGGTCTTAATGTTTTAACTTACTTGGACCTCATTTTTTCTGTACTATGAAAGAATTGAAATAGGTAATCTAGCTCCCTGCTCAGGTAGTTCTGACATTCTATAAAATCGCATCTTTTGAGTCTGGAAATGTTAATCTTGTATTTTCCTTTAGGTCAGGGTTTCTCAGCAGTGGCTAAGTTGACATTTGGGGCCAAATAATTCCGTGCTCAGGTCGAGGGCTGGCCTGTGAGATAGTTAGCAACATCCCTGGCCTCTCTTCACTAGGTGCCTGCCCCCTTCTACAACCTTTCCTGGTTGTGACAACCAAAAATGTCCCAGACACTGCCAAATGTCTCTTGGAGGACCAAATTGTCTTTTTTTGAGAACCGCTGCCCTAGATTTTAATCTGATTTTTTTCTTTAGGCATTTAGGCTTTGGAATTCAATCTTTTTTTTTTTTTTACTTTTTTTTTTCTTTTTAATTTGCTGGAGGGTGCATGTAGTCACCAAAGAAAGAGAAAGTGAGAAAGCACCCCTCACGGGGCATGGTCATGCCGCAATCCCTTCTCTGTTTCTCCCTTCGGGATTTGGGTACACACACGCACTGGAGTATGTCCCAAGCTGCTGGATGCAGGACCAAAACTACCGTCAGCCATGTGCCACTCAGCTGTCCCCGCCATCACACCGCCAGCCGGCCTGGAAGTACATCTTCCAAACTGCCTACCTTTGCAAAGCTCCTTTTCCCTTTTCTAAAAACCACTTTGAACTTAATTGCTTTCATGGTCTTCGTCTAAATTTTCTCTACTGCATTCGCCTGCATGTACTATTTTCCCAAAGGCCCTGTAAGTTGCGTTTTGTCATTAGCTGTTTGTAATTTTAACCTGAGAGATACCATATTAGACCTTCCCTCTTAGATTCCTTAACCCTCCTCATGAGGTCACTTGGAATCGTATTACTCTGGGCCCACTATTTTTCAGACACGCATTAGCATATTTTCAGCCATCTTTGTAATTACATTTTTTCATCAACATTTTAATCTTGGCCATAATTTTTAGCTACCACATTCCTGACATTTGTATTGTCATTTAAACTCCAGCTCTCTGAAGTAGATATTATTGTACCATTTTGCCGGTTAGGGAGCCAAGCCTGCTGATTTAAGCATTTTTATTAGATTTGGGACATTTTCTGTTAGAAATTTCCCGTGGCGGTCCCGCATGTGGAGAGTCCTTAGGTGGGAGCAGGAGTTTGCTGCCATTACTTGCTTAGTCTCTCCTGTTTCATGGCTGTTGAGGCATCTTTGAGAAGCAGGCGTGAAAGCCTGCTTATTAGTACAGTTTCTTCTTTTGTTTTCTCCCCAAGTCAGTGGTTGCCTTTTATTATTATCTTTAAAATATCATATAGTGGTCTTAGAAATCATTGGGCTTTTTGTTACCATCACTGGCAAACTCTTAGATCTTACTCATCAGCCTGTGGAACTGTTCCCTTTTTAGGGATAGATACCATCCAAGAATTGTCTTCCATCCTTATTTGTTACTGTCATGGCTTGCTGTATCAAAGCAGCTGAATTTGAAACAAGTTCAATGCCATTGCCTTCAAGGATCAACTGTTCTTTCTGAGCCTGAGAAGTAGAACAAGCAACATCTGGTCACATTCAAACTCATAGCGACACTGATCCGGGAAATGCACGTACCCAGACCTCATCTTGTAACAGAAGCCCAGTGTCACACCCTCGATCATGTTCTGTACATGACTATGGAGTGTGCTAAGTGTAGCCAGTTCCTTTCTGTTTCCCCACCATTTGTCAACCTGCAGCCTTTTTTTTCCCCCAAAGAGACTGAGTTCTACATTGATGTGATTAAAGTCCCTTTGCAGGGTTCCTCTGGGGCCTTTCACAATAACTGTGTGTCCCTTCAGAGTGATGTGGACATTCTCTGGAATGTTGATGGTCTGATCGCCCAGAGTGGTCTTCATCCTTACAGTAGACATGGCAAAATCATGGTTTAGTGAGAAAATTGAGATGCAGAAATGCTAATGACTTTATGGAAATCCGGAGTAGAAAGCATCACTGTTTCCATACTCTCAGCCCAGTGTTTTCATTTAGCCCCACCAAAGTCTGGGAATTTTTTTTTCCCCGAAGAGATTTTTGCTATAGGGCATGTGCACTTGCCAGAGAGGCAGAGAGGCAGAGTCACAGAAAGTGAAATCACCCTCCTCCCGCAGAGGGGATGGTCATGCCGCAATCCTTTCTCCTCCATTCTCCTCTCGGGATTTTGGGCACGTACATACACACATGCACACAGATGTGCCCAGTGTGAGTTTAAGGAACCGGGTCCAGGACTTGAACTGTGTTTGACTACGTGGGAGTCTGGTGACATAACCATTACACATCTGCTGGTCCCAAGTCTGGGAATGTTTCTTCTATATAAATGCTAGGGGTGGTTTTTTGGCTTTTGTTTAGAGGGTTGTTTTTTTCTTTCTTTTTTCTTTTTGAAGAGGATAGTATGTGCTAGTTCAACGAGTTATTTCTTACACTAAGCTACCACATGTGCCTGGTGCAAAATAAGAGCCAGATTCCACATGGCTGACTATGCGGTTTGAATCCTTGCCCCAGCAGCTTGGAGAATGCATTCTGGGCAGGTGTCTATGCATGCCCCAAATTCCAGCAGGTTGGAAAAGATGGAGGAGGGATGGGGAAGGAATTGGAGCATGACCACACCCAACCGAGTGGTGCTTTTTCTCTGTCATCTCTCTGTCTCCCTGTCTGTCTTTGGTAAGTGCATGTGTTCTCTGGCAAATTAAAGACAATTCCAGACAACAAAACACAAAGTTCGACTGGTTTTGGTTCTGGTATTTTCATAGCCTTGATTGAGAAAGGTGATTCTTGAAGGTCTTGTCAGTTACCTGAAATCTTGGGTCAGTTGCAGGGCTTTGCCGTTTCCAGCAAGATTAAGAGTGCGTGGAAGAATTTCACGGGATAGGGATTGCTTCCTTCTATGACATACTCTCCTAGCCAAGGCTGAGTGATCTTTACAGTACTGCTGTATTTGCTCGACTCTTTTAAGAACTCTAGCCACAGCTTTATCATCATGAAACAGTATCTTACTCCTTACTCTGTTTGCATTTCTATTTTTCTGAAAACAATGAGTTTTCTGTTTCTGTGTTTGAATCTTAGATTACTCCTGATTCGAAGATAAGTGTGCCAGATTTACCCAGCCTCGGTGAGGATGACAAGCTAGAAGTACAGAAAGTGTCCCCAACTCAGATCAACAAAGCGGTGACTCTAGAGCCTGCCAGTACATTGGACCAGCACTCCTTCTCCTTGCCCACCTGCCTCATCAGCGAATCCGTGAAGAAATTAATGGAACTTGCCTATCAGACTTTACTAGAGACAACAACCAGTAGTGACCAATGGTAAGAATTCAGAGTTGTCTGTTAAATGGCACTGACTTGGTTAAATGCATAGCTGACTAGACATTTATTAAAGAAACCAGCTGAAATTCTTTGGGTTTTCTTAATCTGTTAATATTTTTTTTCCCTAGAAAAATACAGTGATCTCTAACTTTTATTTATAGTAACATACAGATATTAGAATAAGGTATAAGAAGTAAATACACATATATGGATGGACAGACAGATTTCTTTAACATGAAAAATTGTTAATCACTTTTTAACAAAAAACTTAATTTTTTACTTTTTAATTGGAATCGAGTGTATTACATGAGAAAGCACGCATGCAGTACTTAGAATAGTACCTAGAATGGGGGGCCAGCAGTTAGCGTAATGGCTATGTCGCTGGACTCCCATGTAGTCAACCGCGGTTCGAGTCCCGGACCCGGTGGCTTAAACTCAAGCCGGGCATGTGTGCATGCATGCCCAAGATCCTGAGAGGAGAATGGAGGAGAAGGGATTGCGGTGTGGCCATCCCCCCTGGGGGGTGATTTCTTGCTTTCTGTCTCTCTGTCTCTCTCTGTCTGTCTGGTGAGCACACGCGCCCTATCGCAAAAAACCTCTCCAAAAAAGAATAGTACCTAGCAGATGATTAATACTCACATATTTATTATTTTTGGTGGCAGAGGTAATGATAATCATTATACCATTTGCTCCAGCTTGACTGGCTCTTTAGCTTAACAGTCTTTGTACTTTTTGAATTCCAGGCCCTAATTAATTTATATATACTTTAATAGCCAGAGGTTATGTACACTTGTCAGAGAGAGAGGGAATGTTAGAGTACCCTGGATGGGTGGGGTATGGTCATGCTGCAATCCTTTTCCCTCCATTTCTCCATCTTGTCAGGATTTGGGGCATGCACATGCATATAGCAGTTGTGTTTTTGCAAGTGGCCAGCCAGGATTCAAACTGTGGTCAGCCATATCCTGTTCCATGTAGATAGGGCTTAACCACTGCACTGCAGGGCCAGCTCTAACTTATGGTTTATTATTTTTAAAAATTATTTTATTTATTATTATTTTTTCAGGGCTTTGCCATGGGGTGTGTGTACTCACTGGAGAGAGAGATAGTGAGGGAGAAAGCGAGAAATCATTCCCGTGGGGGAATGGCCACACTGCAGTCCCTTATCCTTTGTTCGCCTCTTGAGATTCAGGGCACTCATGCACATGCGCCCTGTGTGATTTTTAAGCTGCTGGGTCTGAGACGTGAGCCATGATTGGCCATGTGGGAGTCCAGCATCTTAACCAGTACACCACCTGCTGGCCCCGTATCTTATATCTTAATGTTTAAGGCAGTAACAGTTCGTTAGGAAGCGAAAGGTAGAAGGGAAGAATGGAACATAAAATGTGCTTCTCTCTTTCCGATGACATCCAATCTGCCCTGTGTTCAGGGTGCCTCAAACTCTGCTCTGCATGTCAAATTGAATCTTTTTGTTTAGTAAGTTTCTTCTCTACTCCTGGACTAAATTGGGAAGAAAATGCAGACTTGCCAAAGTTGATGGCAGAGCGGATTTACAAAGCCTATTGTTTGAATCTGTGTTTAGCAGTTATTTACATATCCTCATAATATCAAACGATTTCAGGACTTAATCAAATTGCATCTTCAGATGGGCTTCCAGAGTTTCGTAGTTTTTATTACTACATGCAAATAAACCCGTTTATATTTATTCTGCTCAAGAAAGAACATGTTTACTAAGATTATTCACAAGTTCATTGAGTTTTAATAACAAGTAGGAAGAAAAACACTTCCTTTGTAAAGTAAGTATTAATATACATTCCTTTAATAAAATATAGAAATGATTTATTTCTTCATATGGCATTCTAGAACTTAGAGGCATAGGGCAGTATTTCTTAATTTTTTGAGAACACAGAACACCCAACAATATTCTTATATACTGAATATCAGTGGTGGTTTTCTTCATTAAAATAGTTTTTAATAGGATAAACAAAGCACAATGATAATATAACAACCCCCACTCATTGCCAAACCTCAAACAGCAACGCCTTAAGCCATTTGGAGAGGGAAGGAAGTAGTAGTCTGATCAGCATCTCATAGTAACCAAATAGCAACAGTGTTTTGGGTTGTGACTTAAATTTTTCTAAATATTTGTGGAATTCCTGTGACTTATTCAATGTACACAGTTTAAGACATTCTTGGGTAGAGGTGAGCTACATAAATCTCATTTGCACTCTTTAAGTGCATTTTAAAAATAATCTTAGGTGTCTTAAGGCTAGTCTTAAAGGGCAAAAAATCTTGAGGGCTAGATTCTGTGCTTGAAATGTTGATTCATCTCCTTGCGTTGGGGTGAGGAGGAGAAAAGGTGAAAGCTGAAAGCCAGACTGATTCCAAAAGAACCGGCCTAAGGCCTTTCTGGATACCGTGCTCTTTGCAGAGTGCAACGGTGAGGAGGTGACATTTGCTCGAGGCTTAGCTCCATTTGTTACTGAAGGGATACTCCGGGTCCTGGCAGAGCACAAGCTGATAAATGGAAAAGAGGCTTTGGGCTGAATGCTGCTGTCCTTAAAATTATTAATGGACCCAGTTTTAGAACTACTGTCTACTCAGTAAATCCTGGTTGAGAATATACTTCCATCTAGGTTGGTGCTTTCTTGCAGTGACCAGGGCAGGTATCCTCTGCAGCTGCGGTTTCAGCTCGTGACTTGCACTGAAGGTGCACTTAGTTTGATTTGATTTTTTTTTCTCGTTTTCAATATATTCTTATGCATTTCTGCTAAATCTGTTTTCCTTTTAGTGCTATTCAACTTTTCTATTCTGTGAGGAATATCTTCCACTTGTTCCATGATGTCGTCCCGACATATCACAAGTAAGTGCCCCCATTACCTTTTTTCTGTATAATTGTATGTCTAAGATGGTGTAAGTCAAGGTGGTAAAGCCAGTAATTTAATATTCACACCAAAGGTAATTTGGGTTACTAACATTCCCTATAAGATGCAGTTAATCATTTCCAAGTGCACATTTAAAGGGAATTGGTCATTTAGTACTAAATTAATAAGGGCATTTTAATCCTGCAGTGTAGAGGTTAAAACAGATTTGAAAAACTCCAAACGACTTTACCCTGTTTTTGATGCTAGCACGTTCAGCACAGCTCGGCTTTACTTGGTGAAAATACAAAAAGGCCGTCACTCCACGTGGCTCTCCACCGCACACGTCACATCTCCTCTCGGCACTCTGAGCTCTGTGGACTTGGTCCCACGAGCGACTGCTCCTCGTTTGTCTGTGGTCAGCCCTTCCTAGGTCTCTTAGGCCGTATTTACCTAATGTCTTGGTTTTCAAAACTTCTTCTAATACTGGTCTGAGAAGTTATTCAGCTCCAAGCCTTCAGGAGTTATCTTTGTCACTTAAATTAAGTGTTTTCAGGAGCCTTTTATAAATGTCTTTATTTGTATGTCAACAAAGCTGTTCCATACCTAAGGACGCTGCTTGCAAAGGAAAAAGTCAGTTTGTTATTTCGAAGTATTTTTAGTTGGGATTTTTGAACAATTGAGTTTTTTTTTTTTTTTTTTTTTTTAATCTAGGCCAGCCTGTTGTTTCACTATAAAAGAGAGTCTTTGCATCGTGAACCACAGTATTCTTGTTTGTATTCTTTTTTCTGTGGCTTAAAAGTCTTAGTTCACTTTTTACTCAGTTAAGTAAAGGAAAAGAAAAGCATTGGGGTAGGCTGACAGTCTTGTTCTTGGGGATCCAGAGGTAATTGACTTAGAAGTTTCCATGGCTCAGAAACATTTTTCACTCTTGTGGAGTTGGATCTGTCTTTCTTTTTTGTGTGCTCTTGGAACTTTGTGTTGGACATTGGTTCACAAACTTGGGTGTGTGTCAGCCTCCCCTGGAAGCCTTGTTAAAGCCCAAGCTTTCTGATTCAGTAGGTCCGGGGTGAGGCCTGAACTGTTCGTAAATTCTGGGTAACGCTGATGTGTAGAATCACTCACAAAGCTTTGGAAATGTGTATTTGCCTAGATTTTTATTCCTAGAGCTTTTGATTCATGTTTTGGTATAAGAATCAGGCAGTATTTTTTTTTTCCCTGAGAAATTTTTACTGTAGCGTATACACTCACTAGAGAGACAGAGAGACAGAAAGCAAGAAATCACCCCCTGAGAGCATGGCCATACCACAGTCCCTTCTCCAGTCTCTTGGGATTTTGGTCATGCATGCACATGTTCCCTGTGTGAATTTTAAGCCGCCAGGTCTGGGACATGAACTACCTGGAAGTCCAGTGATGTAACCATTACACCATCTGCGGGTCCAGAGAGTCAGGCAGTATATTTTAAAAGCCCTATAGATGAGTCTCATGTGGAGCCTGGAATGAGGATGGGTATCTTAGACTGTTGGTTTCTGACTTGTATGAAGGGACTTTAAAAAGTTTGTTAAAAAAAATGGAATTTGGGAACCAGCAGTTAGCGTAATGGCTATGTCGCTGGACTCCCACGTAGTCGACCGTGGTTCGTGTCCCGGACCCTGTGGCTTAAAACTCACGCCGGGCGCGTGTGCGTGCGTGCCCAAGATCCCGAGAGGAGAATGGAGGAGAAGGGATTGCGGCGTGACCATCCCCCCTGGGGGGTGATTTCTCGCTTTCTGTCTCTATGTCTCTCTCTGTCTGTCTGGCGAGCGCACGCGCCCTACAGTGAAAATCTCTCCAAAAAAAAAAAATGGAATTTATGTTTGAGTTTATTTTGGTGTGTGTTTTTTTTTTTTAATCTATACATTTTTTCCCCCATGGTGTACTTTTTTTCCTATGGATTTTTTGAAGAGCCTGTATATATCCTAGCCTAACCCTGAGTCAGCAAACTAGAAAGTGTTAATTGAGGGGCCGGCAAGTGGCGTGGTGGTTAAGGCACTGGACTCCCACATTGCCGACCACAGTTTGAGTCCTAGACCTGGTGGCTTGCTTTCTCACTCTTCCTCTCCTGTCTCACTCTGGTGAAATAAATAAATAAAATTAAGAATTAAAAAAAATGTTAATCGAATGACTGCAAATGTATATATAGTAGGAATAGAAGACCAGATGTCTTCCCGAATGGGGTAGATGGGCTAATATATACGGGAGAAACAAAGCAGTGATTTTTGAATTCTGGATGAAAATTAAAATCACCTGGGAAGATTTTATTTTAAAAGAATTATTTCGTTTAAGTTTATTTATTAATTTATTTTAATTTGCCCAGAGAGGGACAGAGGGGGAGAGAGAGAGAAAGAGGGAAAGTGAGAGAGAAAACCGCTAGGTCTGGGACTCAAACCATGGTCAGCCATGTGGGAGTCCAGTGCCCTTAACTACCATGTCATCTTTCGGCCCCAAGATTTTTAAAAGTATAAATGTCAGGACCAGCAGATGGCATAATGATTATGTTGCTAGACTCCCACATAGTCAACCACAGTTCAAGTCCCGGACCCAGAGGCTTAAAACTCATGCCAGGTACATGTGCATGCGTGCCCAAGATCCCAGGAGGATAATGGAGGAGAAGGGATTGCAGCATGGCCATTCCCAGTGGGAGGGAGGGTGATTTCTTGCTTTCTGTCTCTCTGTCTCTCCAGCAAGCACACATACCCTATGGCAAAAATCTCTCTCTTTGGAAAAAAAAAAAACTATCAGTGAAGCCATGGCCTCATTCTCAGAGGTTGTGATTTCATTTGTTTAGAGTGAAATCTAAACATCTATTTAAAAGTTTCCCAGGTGACTCTAATCTATAGTCAACTTTGAAAACTGGGGAATTAGAAACAAGTTAAAAGGCTTTATTATATAAATGAAATTGGAATTTGGAGAAAGGGAAAGTAAAACTGTGTTTCCACAGATTTATGTGTTAAATTTCAAGGGAATTACTGTGCAGAGCTCTGCCAGTTTTCCAGTACGAAGAGTTGACTCAGGTAAAGATCTTGATCCCCTTAATCTTTCTTTTTTGTTAGTCACCGGGCTAGTTTTATGGAATAAGGTCGCAGTCAGGACAGCCTCACCCTGAAGGGGAATGGGAGTGATAAGATTGCATCTTGTCACGTACAGCGTTTGCAAAGTAGTCAGTAACTAAGGTCTAGCCGAGCGTTCGAGTAGTAGTGACTTTGCATCAACCCCAACCTCAGTAACGGGGGGTTTCTTCTTCTGGCCTAGGGAGAACCTTCAAAAACTGCCCCAGTTGGCTGCCATCCACCACAACAACTGTATGTATATTGCTCACCACTTGCTAACCCTCGGGCATCAGTTCAGGCTGCGTCTGGCGCCCATTCTTTGCGATGGCACCGCTACGTTTGTGGACCTCGTACCTGGCTTCAGGAGACTCGGTAACCATGTTTATGCTGCTTCTCAGCTGCTAGCTTTGTCATTTATGAATGAGGCGGTTAGAAACTAGGTGGTGGTCCTGGGCTCTGCTGGAAAGTGGCAGAGCATTTAATTTGCAAGCGTTCCCAGTTACTTGATTTTAAGAAGCAAATGCAGTTTTTGTGGAAGCCATCCTTTCTCGTGACTTGATTTCACACTGCATTGCTGGTGTGCATGGAGTTCACCAGATCAGAGCTGTGTCAGCATGACAGAGTAAGAGCTATATTGTAAGCATTCAGTGCCAACAGCTGCACTGTTGGTAAGAGCTCACTAATACCAGTGCTTGTTCTTTTGCAAAACCCCCTTCTCCTGCCTCCCTTAGTTTTACTTGGGATTATTAAAAGTCATAACCAATGAAATGTGGGGCAAATCAATACGTTTACTATAATGATAGCCTAAGAAAAGCGGAGAGTCTGTATGGCTCACTTAGCTTTTCAATTCCTGGCTTTCGGTTAGATGGTGTAGGTATATCAGAATAATAAAGTAACTTCTTTTTTGTATGTGGATAATTTTTCTTAGCTGACTCTGGCTCTAGGCGAAGTATTGAGAAGTCTTATCCTGAGCGTGGGGTTGGAGAGACTGACTAGTATATTAGGGGTGACTGTTTCTAGTATCCTCGGGCCAGCCTTATGACGTTATCTGGTATGTTTTCATATAAGCAGAACAGATGCATGGTTGATGCCTGTCTCTCCTCCTACCTTACTCCTTCCCGTATGTAACTGAACACCTTTTAGAGTTCTTTATTCTGTTTTCCCATCATAGGGACAGAGTGTTTTTTGGCTCAAATGCGAGCACAGAAAGGCGAACTTCTGGAACGATTATCAAGTGCTAGGAATTTTTCAAACATGGACGACGAAGAGAATTACTCTGCAGCAAATAAAGCAATCCGGCAGGTGGGAGGCTGTTTCTAGCACTAGAATTTATACTTTCTCCTTAGATGCCCCCTTTTTTTTTTCTTAAAGCAAAGTCAATGTAAAAAGGAGCTCAGTTGTTTCCTCACACCCCTACTGGAAAATCTAGAACTTTCTTTAAGAACTTCCATATTTAAGAACTTTCTTTTCTTCTTCCCTTTTCTTCTGCCCCACCGAAATGACAAGAAACTATCTTTTCAATGTCTATAACGTAACTAATTAGTAAATTTCTTTTACAAGTAGTTGACTCATGAACTCGGGTTTGGGAAATTTGAAAAATCTTTGATCTTAACGCCCCCCCTCACCTAAGTGATTTCATTTTACTGTAGTTTTTCCTTCCTCAAGATGAGTCTACTTAGCGGTATCCAGGAATATCACTAAGGCTGACTATTCAAGAAGCATGTTTTCTTGATTAGCTTACCTCACCTAGCACGACACCTCCCACACTTACATACACATGATCATTGTAGATCTGGAGAGTGAGTTGCGGCAATCTCTTCCACTTAAATGGCTGTGCTCTTCGGCAGGTACTGCACCAACTGAAGAGGCTCGGAATTGTCTGGCAGGATGTCTTGCCAGTGAACATCTATTGCAAGGCTATGGGGACTTTACTCAATACTGCAGTTTCCGAGATCATTGGCAGAATCACTGCTTTGGAGGTAAGGGCCTTTAGATACCTTCCAGACTTGAAATGCGGTTCTGGTCCCAGATTTTGCCCTTACTAAGAAGTGATGTTGAAATCTCATTTGTAGTCAACACAGGTGGTAGACCTTGTTCATGTTTCATGTCTAACTTATGCTGTTGTGTTTTTTTCAATGTTGTCTTGATACTGTTTTTCTGGAGACTTGCTAATCTCTTTTACACCTACATATGTAAGTAGGATTGTGCTTCACAGTCTAGCATCTAGTTTAAATTAAGAATGAGGGCACTGGAAAGTGGGCATTGGTCCTGAGATGTGCCGTGCAGTATGAAATCATTGAACTTGTAAGTGAGCTAAATAATTTAATAAAGTAAATGCACTCATGTGTAGGTACCGCTTTTCTAACACACTGTTGAAGTTGAGATTATATGAGGAGCATTGTCTAGATTGGCCAGGATGCCTCTAAAGCATAGAGTGGCTAACTCTTTATTTGTAATGGCATCCCCTGCTTTGTAGCAAGCCGTGTTACAGTCCACTGGGCTCTTTCACGAAGGCAAACTAAATTACTGACAATCTGTCGGAACGTATTTGGTGCCATTCTAGCTGCACGAGTATCATCAGAGAGCTGATGAAACGCAGTGTCTCGTGAGCTGTGCTACGTTGGTTGGAAAACGCACTGCTGCAGCGGACCCACCTAGATGGTGTGCACCACAGATCTGCCTAATGCTGTTCCGTTGTGTTCCCCTTTGTGCAAAACCAGGATATCTCCACTGAAGATGCTGACAGATTATACTCCTTATGCAAAACAGTGGTAGACGAAGGACCCCAAGTGTTTGCACCTTTATCTGAAGAAAGCAAGAACAAGAAATATCAAGAAGAGGTTCCAGTCTATGTGCCAAAATGGATGCCATTCAAAGAACTGATGATGATACTACAGGCCAGCTTGCAAGAAATTGGGGATCGGTGTGTGAGACCCTTCTGTAGAGCTGTGTATCTCCCCACCAAT